ACTCGCAAGTTGAAACTATGAATGGGGTATTCTAATCTAAAGAGCTTTAATTGCGGTCTTCATTTACAAAATTTCATTTGTGTCTTCTTACTAAAATTATGCGTTATTTTAAAAAAATAATGTTTTTCATTAAACGTAGGTTTCAATGTTGCTTCATAAAAAACTTTTAATATCTTTTTTTCTCTCTCTTTTCATTATTACTTTCATACGAAGAATTTGAAAGATTCGAGAACTTCTGAAGATTCAGGATCCAATTCGAAAAAATTTAGGATTCGCGTTTCTGTTACTGAACCAAACTTTTGTCAGATGCAGTTCAAAAGCTAAGTGTACCTGTCTACGCTACTCTAAAAATAAATTCTAAAAAAGAATCTTTTCCCTTTTCTCCCTCACCCCTTCACCGGCCACGACGTGCACCGACCCGTTCACCGGGCTCGACTCGTCACCCGACCGTGACTCACTCACTCACGCGAAACCAAAATTTGCTCCTACCAAGGGTTTAAAAACACCTACGAAGAGAAAGAACGTGTAAACTTGTAACAGCTGTCTGCCTTAAAGAAAGGAGACGAAAGAAAAAATACACACGGCGAAGATGCAATTAGCTAACTTCTTTTGCTCACAATTTCTAGCCCGAAAGCAAGATTTCGCTTGGCTTCGTTTCCAATAGAAACATTCTGTTAAAAGAAGTTACTCCAAATTACACCACAACCCCATTACAGCGGGTTGTTACGAAGTGAAAACTTTTAATAGCATGCATAACAGGGGTTTGCCATTTTCATAAACTATGTTTTTATCCCCAAGCATTATACATATATGTTGAAATATAAAAACATTTAACTCCAATTCATATTTAGCTTGAAGCAAAGTAATTAAAAAATGTATAAAACATAAATTGCTTGCTTAAGTAATAAAACATTGTGAAAAAACAAACTAGTCCATCAATGAGATCAATAATGCATAAATGCTTTGTACAGACATTAGATATTTTGGAAGCAGGAGTAATGAAAAATTAGCACCGCTTTCGCCGGGAATTGAACCGCGGACCTCTGGACTACTTACCGCCCGGCGTGCAGACCACCACACCACGAAGGCATGCAAAGAAGGTGGGAGAAATGCCTTACAGCTTAATACAAAATGCAAAAAGTACTACGAAAATAAAAAGTGTAAAAAATGGAGCAAAAAAGTAGTGCCAATAAAAAAGAATAAAAAACTATAAACAATTTAATCTGTCGGCGGTCATTTCTGGACTAGTTTATTTATTTACAGTGATTTATTTCTTAATCAATCAATTTTTATTTTATATTTCTTTTTTAATAGCTTGCTCCAAGCTGAAAATTTGTTGGATTTAAATGTCTTTATTTTTCAATATTACCTCCAGATGTTGCAGCATTTTTTCACAAAAGCACTCGTTCGCTCTTTTCAATATGACAGAACACAATCAGTAGTTACCAATTCAAACTACCTTAAACACAACGCAATGCAAAGCATATCTAAAGAGATCACACGGAGATCTCTCAATACTTCGAATTTAATTCTGAACTAAAAACTGAGAACTAATGTTCTCCTGCCTCATATAGTTTTCCTAAGACCGCGGAGAAATTTCCAATACTTTCCATTTCTCGAAATTGCTAGAAGGCATATACAGGGTGTGGCACGTAAAACCGGGCCATCCCTTCATGAGACATCAGAGGCTGAACAATGATTAAACAATGTCAACACATAATTCATAATAATGATCAATGATTAAACAAAGTCAACACATAAAGTGAAATGTAATGTTTGGAATATGAACAACAACTGATTTATTCATTTTGATCTAAATTAAAGTGTATTATATATTAAGGTATGATATACACACTGAAGAGCCAAAACATTATGATCACCTACTCAATAATCTTCGGCCTGCAAAACAACTGCAACTGCTTTTGGCATGGGTGCCAGAAGTTCTTAGTAGATGGCTGGAGACAGGTTGTACCAAATTTCTAAGCAGCAGTCATGCAAAGTCGAGATATTCTGACGTGGCGGTGTTTGAGCTCTGAGCTGCCGCTCCATGACATCCCAAATGTGCTCTATGGGGTTAAGATCCAGCGAGTAAGGGGGCCAGGACATTAATTGGAATTCATCCTTGTGCTCCTCGAGCCACTCCAACACAGTTCGAGCCTTGTAACATGAGACGTTGTCCAGCTGGAACACTCCATTTCCTGTTGGAAAGATAGACGCCATGTAAGGATACAACTCACCGCAGTTATGTTCAGATAGTCCAAAGTTTTCATGGTCTGTTTTACCATAACTAAAGGTCTCAGAGTCGCCCAAGAGAACGTTCCCAAAGAATACTGCAGCGACCACCAGTTTGCGTATGACCTACTGTACGGGGGGAAGGACAACTGTTTGCCTGAAAGACAGCTTACCCTGACACGACGTGATGGATTAAAAATCGTCATTCATCCGACCAGGCAACTATCTTCCAATTATAAATGGCCCAGTCCCAATGTTCGCGGGCCCAGTGTAAACGTAGTTGACAATGACGCTTGGTCAACAGAGGTACACGACTGGGACATATGCATCCCATACCCAACAGCAACTGCTGAACTATGTGTTCCGAAACACTTGCACTTAAATTTGCATTGTATTGGGCTGTCAGCTGAGCTACTGTCTGGTTCCGATTTTACTGTATAAGCAGTGCAGTCTCGGACGTCCTTTTTCTTTGATGACGCGTGGACGTCCAACAGCTAGGCGTCTACTACTGATTTCACCGTCATTTATCCACTGTGCTTAACTACTAATAATGAGAGATTGTGAACAACCTACTACTGGTGCAGTTTTGAAGATACGCGTTCCGAGTTTTCGGGCCATAACAATCTGTTTTCTATCAAATTCGCTTAGATTAGTAGGCTTTGCTATCCCTTGCAAAATTAAGTGCAAGAATGATTCCTTACCTTCTCCAGCAACAGTCAAATATCATTCCCATTTAATTACCTGCCTTTCACATCATCCAGACGAGTTCATTGAAAAATGTGGGGATGGTCATAGTGTTTTGGCTCATCAGTGTATATATACTATATAAATAAAATGAAAATGAAAAATAAAGAAGTTAAACTCATTAATTATGCCCCAATTGCTGCTGCACTTAATGTTGTAATAAAGGAAAACTGTAAGAAAATTTTCTGTTCTTTGTGGTTGGCAAGTTTAGAAAACAAAAATACAAATGGGAAAAAAGGCGAAAAACGGAACTGCTTTAATGGAAATTCTAAATAATATTTAATTATATTAGGCTAAATTTGGTTTGTAGAAGCATTTCGAAAATTTGCAAAACTTGTATTGCCGGTTTTTTTTTTTTTTTTTTTATTTATTTACTTCTTTGTATGAAGTAAGAAGGAAGTATTTGTGATCGCGAAAAATTTCTGGTATTGTATTTCAACGAAAATATCCATTTTGACCGCTATCGAATGCTATTTAACGATGTTTTTGCATGATATCTGTACGTAAGAACAGAATAAACGACTTCCCCCCCCCAAAAAAAAATTATAAAACTGATTTAAAATGAATTCTAAAGAGATTTTTTTCCTCGCGTGTGTACGTACGTATGTATGTATGTATGTATGTATCTCGCATAACTCAAAAACGAGTAGCCTCAGAACATTGAAATTTTGCATATAGGACTGCTATAATATGTAGATGTGCATCTCCCATTTTGGTTGCAATCGGCCGCACCGGAAATATATGAATATATGTATATAAATACAAAATAATTTTTAAAAACAAAATAAGTATGCCTAGTATTTTCGAGCTTAAAGCTGCAGAAAATTATCATTAAAGACATAAAGTAAGAAATTTAGAACTAATGTTTCAAGACGAAAATTTTGAAATTCAGAGTTAATAAATTTCAAATAATCTAATAAATGCAACAAAGAATTTAATAAATATAAAAATGCAGAAACGCCCTTAAACTAATCCTATCTTAAATCTTATTAGAATCATTTCCGAATGTTATTTTTTTGCAAATTGCAATAAGTTTCATCTTGTAAAAATTTCAGGAGTTTTAGGGTTAGGCCTTAATTTGGTCTGCAAGAAAGAAGTATGGAGACTGGTTTGGTTTAGCTGATTATGGCAGAGCTCACTAGAGCTATCTGTCTAAGGAGATGGATGCCTTCGGGGAGGATGTTCTAAAGGAAACAGTTTGGTATACATGATATTACATGGGGATAACCCCGAAGACGCTCATGCAACCAGACCGTTTTTCCCGGAATCGAATCCAGGTCGGAACTACCAGTGTTCAACGATATCACCACTCGGCCGCTTGTGAGCCCAGAAGTGTGGAGAAGAAAGACGAAGAAAAATAAATAACAGATAGTGGCCAAGTTTCATCCAGACTTGCGGAGCTGTGCAAAAATTTTTAGCATTTCCAGACAAAAAGTGGAAGCGACGCCGACTGTGAAAACTTTTTGTAAGCCTCGTAATATTTTGCAGTTGAGGCAAAACTTAGATGCAAATGACTTTTTTGTTAAAAATAGATTTTTAATGCATCTTTTCTTTTAAAAGTAATAAATACTAGATATTTACAATGCGTAGTAATTTCTCGTCTTAATCGTTTTACCGCATTCATAGATTTTTATCTTAATGCCACTGAAACAAAACAATGCATCGAAGTTTTCTGTATATTTTCGTGCTATCTATAATGATTTTAAATTAGTAAAATATAATAAGAGGCAAATATACTGCCAAATAAATTTTTCATATTTTAGAATTACATGATTTATTGTTTTAGGCTTTCTATCTGTAGGATAGTAATTTGACAAATTTTTAGTTAATATGTGATTGGGAGAAAATAAATTTTAAAAAATAACCATTTTCAAAGTTCAATAAATGACGCATCAAATAAGGTTCTGCGCCTTTCCCCAAAAGTGGAAATATCTGGCGCTTTGCGAAGGAGAACCGGCAGACAAGTCACGTGATACTCCTATGCAGCGAATTGTGCTTCCCCGCAGTGACGTCATCGGTAAAGTAGATAGGTCGTCTGCTGCAGAGCAAATTCAGTCATCGAAGTTCTCTCCAGCTGTTGAAACGTATTCTTGTGTCTAGAGATTTAGTATTATTTTATATAAAATGAGAGAAATAGTTCATATCCAAGCTGGTCAATGCGGCAACCAGATCGGTGCAAAGGTAATGCAACTCATCTTTTCTTACATCTAAAGTAATTTCTGCTGTTGCCAATATCGCATTCAGAAATTTTAATTATTTTTTCAGTGTTCAAATTGTGAGCATAGGTTTTGCATAAAAAAAATAATTCTCTTCGCTTGTTTTGGGCGTGGCCAGCGAAATTTTACCGTGTTCCAGATATGCTTTAAGTGCTCAAATTGCGCCTTAAAGCCCATCGGAGCTATTCTCATTTTTGAGGCAAATTGCAATTCTAGCCGTAACGCACCAGAGCTCTATATAAGAAGGACTTCGGCTCATCTTTTATGTAACTGAAATACAATATCAGCATAAAATTCTTTTAATATCAAAAATTTTATTTCAGTATTAAGTAAGCTTTAAAAATCGAATTTAACTTCTGAATGCATGCCTGTTTTTCCCAAACGAACAAATGCTTTAACATATGTTGCGGCTCTGAAAGAAAGAAAAGCCCGTACAACACATGTCAAAGGCAATGAATTTTTGGAATGCCAGGAAAGGCGATGTATTTTTCAAAACAAGTAAATCTTAGGTCCCCTGAAGCTTCCAGTGTGCAAGTTCAATTCTAGCGACTTCTCGCAGAAAAAAGTTCTTGCATATTTTTGTGGATGATTTAATCAAAAATGGGAGATGAAAATGGTGACTTGCGCAGAATCATACGATTGTTCTCGGTTTACATAAATCCTCGAATTCTCGGAGAAATCCCCCCCGGCCATTGCATTCTGTTTCACAGAGAGAATTATATCGGCAGGGCATCGTGGTCAGAAAGTGTCGGAATATTCTTTCTCTATTTTCATATCTACACATCTCCACTAAAATTTCCTTCCATACTCGCATACTGGTCTTAGCATGTTCTCTATTCTCATTAGCGGTACTTTTAACGTTTTACCTTGTATCTGAACATTAAAAAAAAGTCGAGAGAAATTGTAATTCCAGTTCCAGCCGGATTCCCAAGTAAGACAATGCCAGGTGTTTTACTTTGTTGTTTAGCAATTTATCATTTATTTAATATTTAAATTTTTATTTAGCTTTGTACATGTTATTTTTAATTATTAATTATTGTATTATTTAAATTATTGCTTATTTTATTAGGTATTTTTTTTATGTAATTCTGTTCCCCTTTCCTGGGCTTTGGTGCTTTAATTTTAGAAATTACGCCATGGTAATGAAGGAATGCCAACCAAGCATAAGCGGCAGAATATTATTTTAACTAATTAGTAAGAGAATAATGCCATTTCAGAATTAAAATATTAATTGATGTGTACAGACAGAACCTATCATAACCTTCTCTGCAGAAAAAAGTAATAAAATTTAATTATGTTATATAGTATTAAATGTTGAAATTTTAAAGTAAAAAATAAAAGAAATTCAAAAAAGATTAAAAAAAAAAGCTGCACACATTTTAAAGATGAAAAAATGTTGTGGGAGGGACTTTTGAGTAACGAAATTATGGTATTTGAAAAGTTTCTGATTTATTCAGATTCTGATGAAATCGTAATCAATCTGTCATTATCCAGATACTATCTAAATTATATATCTAATCTCAGTGTCTTATAACTGTTCGCAAATCATACATTATTAGGAAGAAAAGTAACGTACGATATCTTCCATTAAAAAAATATACATCCATTCCCCCTCTCCCATGTTTTTTGCGCGTAGGAATGCGTTTCGGTAATTGTACAGAATCGCCTTGGGAAACTGTCACTTCTGAGAAATCGCTGTTCTACTTTCTTTAGGGTATTTGGTATCGTTTTCAAATTATATATGCATTTATTATAAATATTGTTTAAGTAAATTGTAATATTTAGTATTTTGAGTTTAGTCTATTATATGTAAACGTTCTGTAAAAGTAATGATAATAATAGCACTAAATGAATTATTAATACGATAATAACATTAAAAGTAAGTTACGTAGTGGCAGTAATAGTAGTAAATAAAAAATCTAGTGATTAAAATAGTATTGTTTTTATTTCCTTGTACGAAGTAAAAAGGAAGTATTGTAATCGCGAAAAGCTTCAGGCAGCATATTTCAACGAAAATATCCCATTTTGACCTCTTTCAAATGCAATTTAACGATGTATTTCCGTGATATCTGCATGTAAGGACAGAATAAAACACTCTTTTCCTCCAAAAAAGTTATAAAACTGCTTTAAAATGAATTCTGAAGAGAATTTTTCGTGGCGTCTGTACGAACGTATGCACGTACGTACGTATCTCGCATAACTCAAAAACGAGTAGCCTCAGAACGTTGAAATTTTGTATATAGGACTGCTATAACATGTAGATGTGCACCTCGTATTTTGGTTGCAATCGGCCGCACCAAAAGTATATAAATATATTTAAATATATATCCACTCTGTTACCCGGCTCAGTGATCTCAGTTTCTTTACTTCTTATATGTTTGTAAATTGTACATTTTTTGCTTTAAAAATGATTGAATTATGTTGTTTTTATCTTCCGGTTAAGGTTTTTATGCCTTTAGTAAATCTGCATGCAATATTTTTAGAATTATCAACAATTTAAAAGTTGTTTAAGTGCCGCTAAGCCTAATTTTTTTGCCATGGCGGCCATTGCTTTTGTTTACATTTGAAACAGCTGAGTAGCGGATTTGTTTGTTGCCAATCTAGAGAAACTTAGCTTCGCAACAACAAAGATAACGCCTTCATTTATTATTTAAATTAATTCATGCTTAATCCTTTCTGGAATTTTTTCGAGGAAATAAGCGTTTGAGATTTACTTCGTAATTTTTAATACAGATATTTTGAGTTTTTATGTATTTTTCCTTGTCGCGAAGTGAAAACTGAATTAATTGAATGAGAAATACTCAATCGTCTGTGAAAAACTGTTTCTTTTTTGTTTTGTTTGCTTAATTTCTTTTATACATCGTTCTAGCTTTATTGTAGTATTTCAATAGAACATGTGGCAACGATTAGATAATTCTTTAAATGATATAAATTTTGTGCATTCTGAGTTATAATATGAACGAAATATAATACTGTTAAGTAAACCTAGCGCCAGAGTGTCGCTATGGTAAACAAAGTGAATTTTAAAGAATGCATTTATTCTATTCTGGTTTATGCGCTGTCGGCGAAGTAGGCTTAATTCAGTCCAATAAATTTTAATGAAATGCAAGAAAAAATGCGTATAATTTAATATTCCGTACAAGGAAGTCATATGGTGTACACATCAGATTTTTTCTTTTCATTTTACTAACATTATGACTTTCAGTAACGTTATTGGTTTATTACTACAGTAGATGCTGTTTAATGTGATTACGGTAAAACTTGCAGAGTTTCCACTGCGGAAAAAAACCTAGCGCTAGCCCTGAAAGTAAAATTAATAAAACAACAACAATAATAATAATAATAATATATTTAAAAAATTCTGAATGCTTTCAAATTTTACATTACTCCCAAAAAGGCGCTTTTTAATTTTTTTCATTTGCACACACATAAACTTTTTGAGAGCATTTGGGCTAACGTCCTTTGGGCTAAAAATATTTAAAAACGGCGTATCTTAAGAATTTCCGATTGAAAGTCTCGACGGTGATAGAGATAGAAGTTTTTATTCCGTACAATGTTGCCACTGCTCGCTTTGAAATCATTCAGTTTTTTAATTAAAAATTCGTTAAAGTTTTACAAATTATGAAATAGATAAAATAAATTCGAAATTCAAATTTCGTCTTCCAAGTGCCCATATTCGGGTGGAGGACTACATTGAAAATTTGATGACTCTAGGTACCGTTGTTTTTCGTAATGCGAGAAACAAAGATATATTCATGCAGATTCTTCATTATTTAATTTCTTTAAAAGTAATACAGGGCGATAATATTTAATGGCAGTAATTTGAAAAGTGATTCGTTGAAAAATACCGTTTCGAGACATGATGTCCCTTCTGGGTTAGCTGACCTTTGGGCTAATAAATAAGTAAAATAAAACAACCTAGTTTGACGTAGATTTACAATAACTCTTGAAATCAGAGCGATCAAATACAGGTTCTTGTTCAGAAGTAGAAAAATAAATTCTTCAGATTTTCTTATTCCCTGAAAACATTAACGGAAAACTAAAGTTACTATTTTGCCTATTTTTAAATATTACATTGGTAAGTTATCTTCCAGTGAGGGATTCCCTTCCAGTATTCAGATTAAGAATACCAAATTGGCAAATAATCTCCAGAAACGTGATAGATAGTTCAGAAATGAACTTTGACATTAAAAATATTATGAACTGTTCATAAAAAAATATTTTTCATTTGCCTAATAAAATTGCTGTGAAAGTACTTATTTTATATGTTTTTATTTATATTAAATTAATTAAGTTTTACCGCTAGTTTGAAGAATATTCTTGCTCATTGTTTAATGTTATCAGGTTAACCATGAACAAATGTGATTACATTAAGCGGAGCTACTTTATTATTATTGCATGCAACTGTAAATAGTGCTTAAAAGTAATAATAAGGTAATAAATAACATTATTGTTTTTAATTGTACACAACAATGTGAATTTCATTACTATAATTACTATTGCTACTAGTCTTTTTTATGTATAATATTATTGTTGCTATATGGTCATTGATATAGTATGCTTTATTTATAAATATATCTAATTTTTTTTATTGCGGATAATGAAATGAATATGCATTCTAACAATTTCATTATTGTTAGTACCTTTAATAATATTTTTAATATCACATGAAAGTAATATTAAGTTTTAATATTAGTTTTAATAATAATTAAAGCTGATATTAAAACTTCATATTTCAGATAGATAATTTATAATAATCGTTAAACCGTTATTATAAATGCTACGTTAATTAGCATACCAATAATTATAATAAATATTTATATCTGTAAGAACGAAATATAATTTGAAAAATTCAACACTTTTTTGTTCGTGAGAAAACAGTTCTAGGCTTCTGATTAATGAAATATAAAATCTAACGCTTTCGAATATTATATGGTGTAAAAACGCGTATAGTATATAAATGCATCTGCTGCGCTTTACATGTATTCACATGCTGCAGTGAAGATTTTCAAGATATCATGATACACACTCATCAAGGTCAATATCGTGATTCTAGCTTCTAGGTTTCAAACTGATTTCGCAGAAGCACGAAATGAACCCTGATGTGCTTGTTGTGAACAATAGCTGCGTAAGAAATAAACAGGAGGAAAACTATATATTTCAGAGAGACACAGCATCGTTGCCAAGTCTACACGCAATATTTCGTACTCAATGCAAACAAAATTTTAGAATGCTATTGAGCTGTTACAGTTTGTTCGTATCCAGTAACAACCGGGAAGTGTATTCAGAAATTTGATTTTAAATCGGAATAAAAATAAATTATATGAATTTTGCTCGCTTTTGTTCATATGGAGCAATAACCCCTTAATTATACTGTATAAAAATTAGAGTGGTATTTTCTCGCAAGGATTCAGGTAATAATTCTATCTATGTTTTTTAAACAAAACAAAATTCATTTTACCAGTGTTAAGGTTGGAAAACAACAATCCCAAAACTAATCATTCAAGAAAAAAAAAAAAAAAAAAAGAGAGAGAGAGAGATAAGCTTGTTGTTAGTAAAGTAAATGTTGAAATTGTTAAACTTAAAATTTCCCTTCCTTCTTTTGTTAAAAGTTTGTGGAGGAGTCATATTCAATTTCAAATGGGAAACAAATATTTTCTTGAAATTGTTAGCCATAAATATAGATATGTCTGAGAAAGATTGCACTGCTAAATACCGTTCTTATGATTATAATCTAAGAAATGAATGAGGCAGAGTATGATGATATGATAATTTTTGTGCATTTTATGTTTTAAAAATGCTTAGGAAATTTAAATATTTATGCAGGTCGTATACTAAGAAACTTATGATTAATAACCCCAGCTAAAGACTTTATGAAGATAAAAAACTATGAAAATTTACATGGCAAACTGAAGCTGAGAAAAATTGTGAAAAATTATATGAATTGAACCGCTTTTACTCGAAATGTTGATTACAAAGATGTAAAATGTAATTTTGAAATATACAGAGTTCTGTGTTTTAGTTAAATACAGAATTTCAAGTTTTAGTGAAATACCAAGTTTTCAGTTTCACTATTTCCTGCGAAAGGAAACATGAAACCCGTGCCTTTTTTGTATATGTTTATCTAGTGTGATTTTTAGAAATCTGCTTTCCAAAACTTAATTTGGATACCTGTCTTAAGCGATGTTTGCATCTATCCTCTAAAATATTAATGAATGATACCTAGGATAAATTTGATGATATGAAGGTAATTCTTGTTATTCGGTTATAGAATTTTCTTTATGATAAAAATTATCATCGAGAAAATGCAAAATTTTAATTTTTATATGTCATCAAGAAATACAAAACTTAAATTTTTACCAAAAAATGTGACATGTCCATCTTGATCTAAGAAACTATCTTATTTGACTCACTTTTCTTAACTAGAATAAGAATCATGGATCTGCGACTAGCTGCTCAAAAGAAACATAGTTGTGCTATCTCTCTCAAACATTCTGTATAAATAAATAACTATATCTTATTTGAATTAACATCATATATTCTTTTAATACTTTGTTTCGTTTCTGTGCATTCTGTTTCCAATGCCGTATCATTTCTCAATTTAATTCTTTTTTATGCATTATCCTAACGATAATTATGTGATTCTTCATTCATTTCCTTTAAAGCTCATGACTCTGAATTAAAAAAAAATTCCTGCAACAGTGTTTAAGAAACCCCTTCTAAGAATTTCAGAGAAGCAAGGAAATCATAATTGGTTCCAAGTTTTGTTGATTTGGCCTTGACTGACAATTTTACGCCAGGTCTTAAAATCCATTCAACCTACATGCCATCGCAGCAAACCGATGGGAAAAAATTACCTCGAAATGAGACAAGAGAATGAATTTAGACTTGCAGGGTCATTCCCTTCTTGTGTCTGAGCGAGAAGGCGCATGAGTTCTTTTCGTCTGGAAGACTGCATTCATTCACCTCATTCCTTCTCAGAAATTCTTCAAAGGACATTACTAGATATTGAGTTCAGTTGCAACGTTTCTGCGAGTTGTTCTGTGATTCTTAATGCAGTGTCTATAAATTAGTGATTCAAACCCGATAGTGAACTAGAAAACTTTCCTGGTACTTAAAAATTACACCTTTCTTATCTCATGTGTTTAAATTTATTCAAGCCGTTAGATTATGATATCCTCAGTTTTAGAGAAATGAAGGACGTCATACATCAAATTCATAAAACCCGTATTTTGAGCTATATTAATCACGTTATTCATATCATATAGTTTGGAAAGGCTATGGCAAAAATGAATTTAACAAAAGCTAAGTGGTGAAGGTCAGGTGTCATCAACAGAAACATAAAAACGTTTCCGGAGCTATAAGGCTAAGTAACTCGCTCATTGATACATTTAATAACAGTCCTTGCAGAGAAAAATCGCGGCGCCAAAATCTTTGCCGGTTATAGCTCCTGGCGCCCAGTGGAGAGCGATGGCTATCCCGCTGTGTAGAGTCCAGAGAAGAGATGCTATACACCAGCGTATCTTTAATTTTAGTGTATTACACTATAAAATGTATGAAACTCGTTTGAAAATGGGGCTGCGTATCCAGAGGCCACTCTGAAAACTCGTTTTAAAGGGAACACCCACAATGGGCACGCGAACATCAGAATTAGTCATTGGATTCGATATGAGTTCTGTGCCTGTTATGTTCTATGCTCATATTCGATGTTCATCTGAAAATTGTTGCCTCCAGAATGCCCAGCAATAAGAAAACAATGCAATTAAAAAAGCATAATGCTTTGAGCAGCAGCTATATTGGAAAACTGTCTAGTCATTCACCCATGTTAGAAAACTATACCTTCCACTAGCTTACTAAGACTCCTATACTTTCTAGGTGATACTTTCTAGGTGCATACTTTCTAGGTGATGGTATCTGGTTTTCATTTATCAATGCGTTGCGTTATTCTGTATTAGTAGTATTGTTCGGGAAGAAAAATATGAAAGTATATTTCAGTTATGGTCCATGTTTCAGAGTTCTCCAAAAGTCAACCTTGCTGAATACCTGTGCGATGTGTCCAAACAGAAAATCAGATTCAATGTTCGTTCAGGTTTATGGCATAAAGAACTGAACACTGTCTTTTAGTAGTATTTTGATTTCAGTTAACGCAAGACCTATTTAGAACTTCTCCATCAATCGTACTTTTACACATAAGAACTGTTTTAAACGGCATAGGAGGTACCAGCATCAAACTAATCATAATATTTTGACTCTTTGAGTTTTCCCCATAGAATATATAACATACTCTGTTTAAAAATTATACTGTAAAATTTTACATTGAATACAAGATATCTTGTAGGGTTCCAGGAAAATTGTAAGCTGAACTTGCAAGCACCTCATTGTAAGTTACACTTCATTTATCGTCAAAAGCAAAATATTCCGCAGCTACATTCGTGGCCCACGAAAATAGATCAGCCATTTTTATGTATAAATTAACCCCAAATAAAGGTCGAATTTTTCAAACTTTTGAGGCTTGCATATAAAATACGAATACTTCTAGTAAAGTTTGTCGTTCTTTTTTTTTCAAAATATCGCAAAAGGGTTATGTGAAAAGTTAAAAGAATGAATAATTGCATGTTTGTTATAAAAAAGGCCTGATTTTAGCGTTTTCGTAACTTCAGGCGAAAGTAGGTCCAGACTTCCAAATGGCGTCACAAGCAACAGAATATTTGCGGGTAATACAATGAACCAGACACAGAGGCAGCCAGAGCTAGACCGTCAGCAGCCCATAACACGGTTAATACCAAACCTATGGAGGTGATCCCAAGAGGCTGAAATTCCCGAGGAGATCCTTTAGAATTATTTAATATGTAGCGATCACACAGCTCGGGGGGAAAAAAAAAGAAAGAAAGAAAGACTTGGCAGTACCTTTACAGACCCTGTCGAGTCCGCTTGGATCCCTGTCTAGTCACTGTGAAGGCAAGCTTATCTTCCCTGTACTATCCACTTTCAAGCATACGGACGTTTGGAGTTGCCAACTCGGGGTTGCGATTAGTAGAGTTGGGGGGACCTGGAAAAAAAAAAGTTGTTGCAACTGGGTTCGTAAATGTATATATGCATATAATGTATGAATGTATGTGTTAATGTATGCATCTACGTACGTATGTGTATGTGTGCATACACACAAATATGCGCACATACATACATATATTTCTAATCCCAATAATAGAAGGGTGCCATTATTATGAACTTGTGCATGCAATATGTTTTTATAACTAGAGTTCTTTAAAAAACTCTAAATATTACAGAGGTTTTGTACTTATTTTTAACTTAGTCTTGTGATAAGTATGGATCTTAAATCAAAATGAAATTCATTTGTGTACTCTGCATCTAATGGCAGAGGTGAATTAGATTTAAATTGCAGAAAATAATTCGCCTAGGCTCAGAACCGAATTTAATTCTAAAACATATTTCTGAGTCATTTGAGTATTTTAGATACAGAATTAATTATGTAGCGCCTAATATTAAATGTCATATTTGTTTGCATAGGTAAGAATAGCAAGTAATCTTTTTTATTCTTTTCTTTCTAGTTCTGGGAAGTTATCTCAGACGAACACGGCATCGACCCAACAGGTACTTATCACGGCGATTCCGATCTGCAGTTGGAAAGGATAAATGTATATTACAATGAAGCCACTGGTAAGTTTATCGATTCAGCCGGCATTAATTTTCAATGATGATTCTTACCATCGCTGCGTGTATGAAATATGTGTAAATAACGATGATGGACACACTTTTCGTTTAAGTATAAACTAAGAGCCAAGTTACTTTCTTTTTCTAGAGCTCGTGAAAGGTAAAATAAAATTCTCATTTAATCACTGTATTCAGTTTTGTGCGCAAGTAAAAAACTCTAGATTGCTTTTTGTTCCTTTAATTAAATATAGCAAAGCATTAAATTCTTAATTGCATGAAAAGTTCTGAATTATCCTCTAATTACTCAAGCTCAATGTTATCTTATTTAATTTAAGAACATATTTTTTAAATATCTAACTAAATCTGTAGAAAGTGGGAGGAATGGCTTAAAATACGTTGTCAGATCGTCCATAGAATTTTTCTTCGCGCACTCGTTTATATATTGTAATGAATAATATATGAAATTTAATGAAAGACGCATTTCATTATCCATAAATTAATGAAAACGTATTTAGTTACGTATTTCAAATCATATTAAGCGAACATACTTCTCTGGATGTAAAATGAAATTACAAATGACTTTACTTCTGTATTAAAAATATTGTGTACTTAACAGTTACGAAAAATCCACTGCATCTCGTAATTACAAAGTACAAAATGAAATGTATTTTAACAGGAACATTTTTTGCAGTGGTTTGAATATCTTAGTGAATAATTATCATTTAACAAAGCTTCTTTTGGTCGGGGTTTAATTCTGTTTATTTTGATACATCAATATTCGGTTATTCAGCTCCAGTGTATTTTAATTTTAGTGAATAATATTGCTGAAAAACTTCACATAAATAATATGGCGTCAGGAAAAGATAAGTAAATAAATAAATAAATGTACCTCCCTAATATTGCCAGTTAGTCGTATTAAACTATCATTTCTTGCTTTGCTAGCTCTGTAGCAATTTTTAATGAAACAACAAAGCGTATATTATTGAGCTGTTTTCTGAAGAATTGATCTAGCAGTATTGGTGAATTCAAGATTAAGACGAGAACGGCATTTAAAAGAAATGGGTTCCGTATATTGCAATACATCTATAAAAACTCACCTATAATCCGTGTATTTTAATTAGTTTTAAATGCTATGTATGATTTAACAAATTATTGCATATTTGTGCAACCATAATGATGCGCTTTCCTTATTTTTGTGACTCTATTAAATTAATTTAATGTTTGGAATTATACTTTTCATAATTATCTGTGAAATTACGGTTAGATTTTCAGTACGACCATACCACTCCTACTTGACTTGAAGAACCCTCAAACTCTCGGGGCATACTGAGGCTAAGGCGAGTGGGGAACTTGAAACAAGTAAAAAGTGACAGGAAAGGCAAAATCAAAATATAATAAATTAAATATTATTAATATAAATACAATTTTAAGATTGCGTAAGGAGTTCAAATCTGTCGATATTCGTAAAGTTGACTTAGGAAGTTTCGTATGAATTTACGAGTAATATACACAGTGCATCTGCAGAGTTTTGGACTAAATTCGTTACAAAATCGTAAGCTGAAAGTCTGATACATTACCTTTTAGTAAACAAAATTAAAAAGAAAATAATATCTTTTAACCTTTGATACAGAACCCTTGTAAGTTTGTTCATTGGTTGATATGTTTATACAGCTATTACTTCTTAGAAATCTCTTAGAATACTTGTCAAGTCTCTTGTTTCGGTTTCAGAATCTTTTCAGTTCTATTCAGAAATAATCTTCGGCGTGAGCTTTCGTAGACTTGACTTAATCGTAGTATCGTAGTACTTGACTTAATCGTTCGTAGACTTAATCTTCGGCGTGAGCTTTCGACTTGTATCTATGAACGTCGAGTATTTGTAGGTACAAAATAGAGTAATCTGTAGGTACGAGATATGGTGAGAGTAGAGTAATCTGTAGGTACCAGATATGGTGAGTAGAGAATGAGGATGAGAAGCTGTGACACCTTTGCTTAGAAACTACATTAGAAGAATGGAACTGTCTGTCGCTACATTGTCGTGAAGCAGAAACCAATTATTGGTTTAGCTGTAAAGACATTAGGTGTCCGTGAAGCAGCAGACATGAAAAATGTGCAATGCCCTTGCCGGGACTCAAACCTGGACCTCTCGAATACACCCCGAGTATGCTACCATTACACCACGAAAGCATGCTGGAAGGAGGGAGAAAATAGAGCTTATTTAGTTTTCTAATAGAAGAGTGACTCAGCAAAGCTAATTAGTTATCATTTGAATCGACAGAAGACGATTTTTCAGATAGTACAACTTTTCTTTTTTGTTCTCATCCGTTCGAGACTGCGAAGGAAGTCCACTCTTGGACTTATCATCATCATCTTCGCATCTGTCACGAAATCTTACGGAAAAACATTGAATCGTAGTAACGTTTGTTCCATGTGCTTTATACAATATTTGAATGTCTCCGCTGCTGTTTTTCTCGCTTTACAGCAAAATTCTTAGTCAGCCTTCGAGTCTGTAATAGCAGATGTTTACGAGATCAAAGCAAGCGAAAACAGCTTGCATAGAAAAGTTTGTCCATAAACAGACGATTTTTAAGAAGAGCAAGCTGAGATGTCATAATAATAATTAATCGTTTGTCAGGTTAGCTAGAATATGTTAAAAATTATATAAATGCATGGGTATTTCTTCATTGAAAGAAACTGGATGTAGTTATAACAAGATAGCAATGGACAAAAAATACTTTATCCCCGCCAAGACTGTGGAAAGAGGACTCCATATCTAAACACGTATGAGCCTCCCTTTTTTCTGTTTCAAGTTCTCAATCTGGAAATGGAAACCTTTTCAATTGTTTCGGTATGGTCATCCAGTCTCTTCTTTTTGCTGCACTACCATTCCCTAGTTGCAACGAAGATGTGTTTAATAAATGCAAATTAACACAGAGAACAGGATGAAGAATTATATGATTTTATCTTTTGTTTAAGAGAAAGAAAATGAACAAAATTTTAGAAAAAATCTGGATGATAGATTTTGAGCTGTATTTTAAATTTTAATATTTATGAAATTTCTTATTTTATTTTATGACTATATTTTATGACATTTAAATTCTATATTTTATGATATTTTGATTTTGATGTAAAATGATGTACTCCTTTGGAGGATGCGGTGCTGATAAAAGTTTCCTTTGCAGGCGGCAAATACGTACCTCGAGCAATCCTCCTCGATTTGGAACCTGGTACGATGGACTCCGTACGATCTGGTCCCTTCGGACAGTTATTTAGGCCCGATAATTTTATTTTTGGTGAGTATCTCACGTAACTTTAGTAATTTCCCATCTAAGTAAATTCTCACATTAACTTTGGTATGATAACAACCTCCCATCTTAACTTTGGTAATCCGACTTGTATCTTTCAGAACAAAGTTATCTATAAATACATAGATAAGAGATATAGAGAATTGGATGTTAAAACAAAATGTCAGTAACCTTTTAAATTAAAAAGGGAAAAGACTCGATTTTATGCGATTCGTTTCCTCTCACAGATAATTAATTTTTCTTAAATAGGACTTTAAGATCTGCCAATGTTCGTATCGTGTAACAGTTTAGCTTTACCAGAAAATATTTAATGTATCATTATCCGTATACACTTTTTGACCCATATACTTATATTTATATATTATTTCTTTTCTTGGAAGGTTCTATTGAAAGCTTGTCTCCAGTTTATCTGATGCCGTAGATCATCCGTATATTTGGCGTCCTTATAAATTAGGTATATAATAATTCAAAACAAAACATGCTTTTATTTATTTGTGGCTTCTGAGAACAGTTTAACTAGCACTTTCCGAAAATAGAAGTTCTAAGCGGTTGCGTATGTCGCCTGTGCTTAAAGTGTTCCTGGTTCTATTAGGCATTAATAAGCAACAGTAATTTTCTCAGCTCTTTCCCTTATTTTCATTTAATTTTTTGTTTGTTTAGGACAAAGTGGCGCTGGGAACAACTGGGCTAAAGGTCACTACACAGAAGGTGCGGAGCTGGTGGATACCGTCTTAGATGTAGTAAGGAAAGAAGCCGAAAGCTGCGATTGCCTACAAGGATTCCAACTTGCTCATTCGCTAGGCGGCGGCACTGGATCCGGCATGGGAACGCTACTCATATCCAAAATCAGAGAAGAATACCCTGACAGAATCATGAACACATTTAGCGTCATGCCTTCCCCTAAGGTGAAGCATCAACCATTCTTCTGATACTGCATAATAACCACTGACATGTGTCCATTCCTTAAGCGATTTCGTAATTAAGAGTAACTTCACATATACTCAGCCCTTTACCCATTTTAATCCGTTGCAACTGCGATGTCTGCCTTCACTGTTGTAGTCCATATTTAGCTTTCGTAACGATCTTGTTTTAATAAATCTATTTGTTTAAGGAGGGTATATCTTGCACAAGTTAATAAATTTTGTTATAAGCTTAAAATAGGTATTTACTGTGTAGAATCATTAGATTTGTTGAAGCAGGAAACATGAAAAATGTGCAGTGGCCTTGCCAGGATTTGAACTTCTATTGCTCCTCTAAAAGATACAAGTGTGAAGTCGGACGCATTTACAATTTACGCTACGAGGGCAGTAAGGAGGGGAAAAATACTTTACCCCACTTTAAGGACGACTAGAGGGAAGGAGATCCAATCGCCAAATTCCGGTGGTGACTGATTACCGTCCATCACCTTTCAATTGGGACGCCACTGTAGAATCATTAGGTTTGTTGAAGCAGGAAACATGAAAAATTTGCAATTCCTTTACCGGGATTTCAACTCTGGACCTCTTGACTGCTACCCGAACGTGCTTCCATTAGACCACGTAGACGTCCGTTAAAAAGGGAGAAAATACCTTACAATTGTCTTCGCTCGTTAAAAAAAAATAACAAGGCAAAAAGAATGTTAGCAGAAAAGGGCATTGAGACAAAAATAATTGTATGCAAGCATAAAATAATACATTATTGCAAAAGATGTAATAGGCTGATTGACGAATGTAAGACTGGACTTCGATAAAGAATAATCAATAATCAAGCTTATACTTTTTTTAGATTGCATATACTTTGTTAAAATTTATTTCAGCGAGGAATTAAAATTTCCGGTTTCATTTAATATTTATGCTAGGAAAGTAGCTATCTGTTTTCACTACAGAGTATCTAGGTTACCACAGCTTTTAATCGTACTCAGATAATCAAGAAAACTGTGTAAAGCAACCGCTTTATATATTTCATTATTTTTTAGACAAGAAATAATGGACATTTATTTTTTAAAAGAGATATTTCGTTAAATATAGTAAAATAAATATCTGGCCACAGTAGATAATTATTTATTTAATTAAAATCTCTTGTAATCTTTAGTTTCAAAATGAAATATTATTCATGAAAGTATTTTTAATTTTTTAGTCTTGAAAACTTGCTCGTATTGCGCATAGAGAAACCACTACTTTTTTTCTCCTCAAGAGTGGAACGTAGAATCGAACTATTCTGTTTCGCGATGTCAGGCCTCCGACCACTCATGGGCAAGATGTCTTAAAAAACTATCAATCAGGAGCATGGTTTCACAGCTAAAAATTTTTACTTAAAACCAAAAATCGGTTAAATTGCAAGTATAAAAATAATCTTGAAATATAACACGGTTGCATCCATGCTTTTTATTTTAGTTGATGGAATTTCTTGCTCTTTGAAAATTAGACTTGGTTAAAATGATCTCTGATTCTACCATGTGAGATCTACTTTTTCCTTTTATTATAAGAAGAAAGTAAAAACAATTATTATTACGGCTTTTACTTTTACTTATTAAGCAAAAGTATTTTTCTCTTGTAGGTATCCGACACAGTAGTAGAACCTTACAATGCAACTCTTTCTGTTCATCAATTAGTCGAAAACACCGATGAAACCTACTGCATCGACAATGAAGCTTTGTACGACATATGCTTCCGTACACTGAAGCTTACAACACCTACTTACGGAGATCTTAACCATCTCGTATCTGTCACAATGTCCGGAGTTACCACTTGTTTAAGGTTCCCAGGCCAACTTAATGCCGATCTCAGAAAATTAGCTGTCAACATGGTTCCTTTCCCCCGACTTCACTTTTTCATGCCTGGCTTTGCTCCTCTAACCTCTAGAGGCAGCCAACAATACAGAGCACTTACAGTTCCAGAGCTTACCCAACAGATGTTTGATGCCAAGAACATGATGGCTGCCTGCGATCCTAGACACGGCAGGTACTTAACTGTTGCCACTATCTTCAGAGGACGAATGAGCATGAAAGAGGTTGACGAACAAATGCTTAATGTACAGAACAAAAACAGTAGCTACTTTGTCGAATGGATTCCAAATAACGTGAAGACTGCCGTTTGTGATATTCCTCCTCGTGGTCTTAAAATGTCTGCTACCTTCATTGGTAACAGCACAGCCATTCAAGAACTCTTCAAGAGAATTTCGGAACAGTTCACAGGTAACTAAACACTCATTTCATCTTTGCTTAATTAGACAAATTTCTATAATCATTTTAAGCTTGAATTATATCGATTGATTATTTTTTTGTAAAATCATCGAAATTTTGATGAAAGTTATGCTGTTTATATTAAAATTGTCAGCTAAAGAAGTTCCAATTAAATAATAAGTTTCTAAAAAGTACGTTCTTTTTGTAGTATGATATAAATGATAACGTTTAACCAATCAGTCGAAGAGTTAATTTAGCATTTACTATAACTCTACAATTAAACAATTTTCCCAACTATGCCCATCGAATGGTGCTTCACGCTGGGCTATTTCTTTATTGCTGACTAGCGCCGTGACTATTAATCAATTTAGACAGATAGACAAATTTAAACTGGGTAAGATTTATTTGCCATTTTTAATCCAAGTTATGTTAGAACACACAAAAATAATCGATTTATTTATTTATGATAATGTTAAACAAAACTGAAGCGACCTACCGTTTAGTATTAAAAATTACCAAAGGCAAGTTTCTGTCAAGCGCTACTCATTCCTGTTTGGCCATTTAAGCGTTAAATCACTTGCGATTGCAAACTCTAATTTGCCATTAGAGTTTGCATTGCTGCCTCCGATTAATAAAAATTAACGCTAAATTCCTTCGAGGCAGCAACGCGGCCTTTTTACACTACTAGGCATGAATTGCAGTTAACGACTCTAGTTTTTAAACTATCTTTCGCGTATTCTTAGCTTGCAGATCCTTCTGGTCTGAGCGAATATATGTGACATTGAGCCAAAGAGAAGATAGAAGACAGTATTTAAATTAAACTCAACTCTTATTAACTTCGAAACCATGATTTTGCGCATGTGATCGGTGGCAGGGAAAGATATTTTTAATGCTTAAAGTCACATAAAACACAATTCTCAGTACGTTTGTAGAGAGATTAGGATTTTTTGGAAGCTAGAGAGAGGAAAAATTAGCAGACGCCTTCGCCAGGAATCGGACCTCTGGAATACCGGCCCAGCATGCAGAACCACTACACCATGAAGGCACGTTAGGAAAGCGGGTGAAATACCTTATATGCTTCCACTTTTAAAGGGCGGCTGGGGGTTTTAGGGGACCCAATCACCAAATCCTGGGTGAGCAGAATCATTATCCACTACCCTTTTAGTTCGGGCGCCACTGTAGAGACATTAGGTAGTTTTTAGAAGCAGGCAAGATGAAAAATTCGCAAATACCTTCGCCGGGTATCGAACCACTGACCTCTGGAATACCGGCCCAGCGTGCAGAACCACTACACCACGAAGGCACGCAAGGAAGGCGGGAGAAATACCTTATACGTTGGTATTAAAACCCGCACATCCTACAGGGATGTCAGTTTATACAGGAAGAAAGCGGTCATTTCCTCCCTATATCCGTATGCCCCTCTGAAAGGAATATGTTTGAATGAATTTTGGAACGTTCTGTTTGACTATGATAGAATTAATGGAATAGTGATTACATAATAATGTCAGTTATTCATTTCAGTTAAATGGCATGGCTTACTCAGTTTCTATAAGATAGACTCACTCACTCATAAGCTTGACACTGTTGCTCTAAATTGATACAATATTTTAAAGTTATATTTTTATATATGTATGCTAATTAGACTCTGATTAATTTTGTATTAACTAAATTAGTAATTAAGCGTATTAATTTTTTTTTTCAAATTCCTCTTACAATTTTTTTTACTGTAGCTATGTTCCGCCGGAAAGCTTTCTTGCATTGGTACACTGGTGAAGGTATGGATGAAATGGAATTCACTGAAGCTGAATCTAACATGAATGATTTGGTGTCGGAATACCAGCAATACCAAGAGGCCACAGCTGATGACGAGGGAGATTTCGAAGATGAAGAACAAGCAGTTGGAGAAACAGCTTAAGATTTCGCTCTTATATACCGTTATTCCATAGAGGACCAAAATTTTATAACTGGATTAGAATCCTAACTTACTTAGCTATTTAACCCTGCAGTCTCAGTTGTATCTTACAGTTGTTTCGTATAAACGTAAACCAGTATTGACATAAATGTACTACATTCCAATCCGTTTACTGTTACCAGCAAGTATCCGGCTTTTTCTCTTTAACTAAAATGTTTTTTTTTTTTTTTTTTTTTTTTTTTTTTTTTTTTTTTTTTTTTTTTTTTTTTAAGTGCATTACTTTTGGATAAGCGTGTGTTTATCACCTAATTAATGCTAGCACTTAAGTCTTCTTAAACAGCGTCACTTTCGATAAAATTTTCCCCGAAGCGAAGATTTCTATCTGAGGGTGAAAGTTAAATCTTGAATTCGTGAAATGAATTTGTCTATATCAGCATTAAATCAAAATGAAAATCTAATTTTCTAGAACTTTTAAACGAATCAAATCTAGCACTGCTAAATCAAAATTCATTCTTATGCAGCTACACTGTTTCCGTTACATGTTTCTTTTTGAATAAAAGCTGTTTTTTGAGAAGTGTGTTTTTATTTCATTTTCACATTTTTATCATATGTAACGTATACACAACTGCCAGCTCTCCTGGCTTTCTAATATCATATTGTTGCGTGCGTACGAGTTCGTTATGAAATGAATGCACAAGTCCGATAAAAAATGAAGAAAAATTTATTATTATCACAACAAAAATGCTTAAATTTTCTCAAATTATCATGCAGTATTACAAATATCTCCACAGTAGTTATCTTTTAACTACTCAAATATCCATAGAACGTAATTCAAAACAGCTAAAGAACGCTAATCCGCGAATTCGCTATAATCGACAAGAGCAGTTTTCTAAACAACAACAAACTAAGCAACTACTACAAACTGAGATGTTTTCCTCCTTTTTATAAGATTTTTAAAATCACGCGCTAGAATTTTCCAGTACTTTTCCTCGAAATCAAAAAGAGATATTTATTTATTTAATGCACGCGCTCTTTTGTATTTTCAATTTTCGGGCTTAGCTTTCTTTTAATATTCGTCACGCGCTGCAACTGCGCGAGAAATAAAACCATTTAATTTGTAATTGAACTAACATTAGCTTTTTAAATACCAAATTCGTAAACACTGCCCCCTTCCCAAGGACTGCACGTCCCGGGCAGTACAATCCCTGGACAGGAAGCTAAACTTAGAACTGTGGCATAAACATTACATCACAATATCAAACAACATGAACAATAAATGCACTAACTAACTTAAACACATCAAATGCTATCAAATACTAAATACAAAACAAATACTAAATACAAATCAAATCAAATACACATTTAAAAACATAAAGGACCATGGTCTGATACTATTTACAATTATTTACATTATGTACTATGGCCATAGTAATGAGCTAACCTGTCGTAATGAACGACTTTAGGTTTAGAGTTCGAAGACTTACGAATCCGAACCATGACGTCATTTAGTCTGTTCAGTTCTGTATACGGATCATCCGAAGGTGACTGTAATTTAGGACTCAGTCCTTTTCGTTGAATCGGGTTCCACAACCACACCTTGTTTCCTTTGTTGGATCTATGTCTAGTAGCTCGCGTGTCGTATCTGGTCTTCACTTTCTCTCGTCGCCAAGTTGACTCGCTTTCGTGCAGAACGGTGCATCCCCTCAAACCGGGCCTGGACATTTTGGATGTGTTTCCTCAGGCGATGAAGGCGCATCCGTACGGCGAGCAAACAGGCGGGTCACAAGGCAGACGAAGGTCTCGACCGAAGAGCTTCTGAGATGGAGAATAGCTGGTAGTCTTGCGTTTCTTTTCGACCCTAGCATGATTTCGGCGGCTTCCCGAGCTGGGGTCTTTCGGACAAGGCGTCGGCATTTCCAAGTGAGGATCTCTTCTGAGGATGGATAGACATGTCACCAGATGCTGAAAGCAGTTTTGTTTTTTTTGAAGTCTAAGGAAAAATTGTATTTCCTTAAAAAGTCCAATCCGAGTATGCATGGATCTGTGATATCCGCCACATAAGCCGTGTGATGGTAGGCGGCACTTCCAAACGTGATGTTTACGTTTAACTTCCCAGTTATGTCGATCTTATCACCAGACGCAGTTCTGAAGGGTAACACAGGATGGCGTCAAAATAAGTTTATCTTTAAACTGTTCAGCTAAAAAAAAATCTTTCCTAATGATGGTAACATTAGCTTCTGTGTCAATGATCATATCGCAAGGAACTCCATCGATATTTCCATTAATGGACATTCCGTTACTGTTGCCACTTACTGTATAAATTTTAAGCGCTTTAAAACAAAACAAGGTTTTTCATTATCTGACAACCTCCGTTCCTCGATATGGTCACTAATTTGTTTTACTGCGTCGTTGCTGGGAAATGGTCTTATTTTTTTCCGTACCCTCGGGATGTTCTGCAATTTCTTCGTATGTGGCCTTCAACTCCGCAGTTCCAGCATTTTTTTAGAATTAGTTTTTTTCTTTTCACTTATGTTCCGTCTCAAGCCATGACTTGTCTGGTAAAATCATCTGCTTTATATTCCGTACCCTGGGGTGTTCTGCAATTCCGTCTTAGGTGACCTTCACTACCACATCTCCAACACCTTAGAGCCACTTTTTCTCCCCTCCTACTCCGTATCAAATCGTCGACTTGTCTGGCTAAATCATCTAAACGAGCCATCAGTTTGATCCACTGGCTCATGGACTCGCACAGCTCTAACTGGGTAGCGATCTCTATTAGTTGCTTGCTGGGCTGCCTCGAACTTCATGGCGTACAACAGAGCGCTTTTTATGTCCTTTACATCTGCCATTCGAAGAGCTTTCTGTATTTCAGGATCCCGGATGCCGTCGATGAAATATTGCAGCGACAGGATTCCTCTTGTTTCTGTCGGGCACTCCGAAAAGGCGAGGTGGGACAGCCTTTCAACATCCGTGGCGAGCTCCTGAAGTGTTTCGGTAGGCTTCTGTTGACGAGATTTTAATTGGAGCCTGCTGTAGTCTTTTAAACACTTCTCCCCAAAGCGCAGCTCCAAGGCGCCGGACAGAGCTTCGAAATCTAACCTTTTGTTTTCGGGAAGAGTCTGAAGGATATCCTCTGCGTCGGCTCTTAAAGAAGCGGCGAGATGACAGGCCTTCGCTTGGGAATCCCATCCATTCGCATCCGCAACTATAGAAAATTGTGTTTTATACACTTGCCAGGATGTCTTCCCATCATATGTGGATAGCTTCAGAGATGGACGAGCAGGCAATCGGTAAGAATTTAAAACCATCACTATTATTCCCTGCCGTCGCTAAACGAATTTTCTTTAAAATATCCACTTCTTTGGCTACTGCAGAAACCCTATCATCAATTTGTTGTTCGATTTGGTGTTGGACGGCACAAACTCTTCCTTCAATTCGTTCCTCCACAGCAGAAACTCTCCCTTCTATATGTTCTTTCACACAGCAAAACTTTTTCTTCTATTTTATTTCTTCTTTCACCGAAGAAACTCTTTCTTCTTCAATTTGATCTTTTACGGAAGAAACTTTTTTCTTCAATTTGTCCAACTTTATTTTCAACTGTGTCAATTCTGCCTTCTATAGCTTCAAATTTATTTTCTATTATGCAGGTAATTTCTCTTTTCATTTCTTCTTGACCAGCTTGAACGGCTTTCATTTCGTCCTTAACGGATTCCTGGCCCAATTTCATTTCCTCTTTAATTTCTTCTTTAAATGAGGCAAAGGCTGATATTAACTGCCTTAATTGCTCTTCCATCGCTCTTGTTATTGGCATTCAAACCCCACTCCTGACACCAAAAATTGTTGCGTGCGTACAGGTTCGTTATGAAATGAATGCACAAGTCCGATAAAAAATGAAGAAAAATTTATTATTATCACAACAAAAATGCTTAAATTTTCTCAAATTATCATGCAGTATTACAATATCTCACAGTAGTTATCTTTTAACTACTCAAATATCCAATAGAACGTAATTCAAAACAGCTAAAGAACGCTAATCCGCGAATTCGCTATAATCGACAAGAGCAGTTTTCTAAACAACAACAAACTAAGCAACTACTACAAACTGAGATGTTTTCCTCCTTTTATAAGATTTTAAAATCACGCGCTAGAATTTTCCAGTACTTTCTCGAAATCAAAAAGAGATATTTATTTATTTAATGCACGCGCTCTTGTATTTTCAATTTTCGGGCTTAGCTTTCTTTTAATATTCGTCACGCGCTGCACTGCGCGAGAAATAAAACCATTTAATTTAAATAATAACCATTTGTAAGATATTTATCTTTCAAATCTGTTTGCTGTTGATGAACAACTAAGCTATTTAAAAGCAAGAGATGCATTTCTTAAGAACAGTACTTTTCTTTACTTTTGCATTTGATTTAATTAAATATAAATGCATTAATTTTAATGATTTAAATAATTAGAAACATTAAATATTTTTATTGAATTAAGTTATATATTTTTTTTTTCACTTTTCAAATATACAGGAGATATATCACGTCCCCATGTTAGTCTAACTGTACATTCATCTAGTATCTTAGATAACGTTTCGCTGTTCCACCTGGGTCATCTCTGTTGATATTAAACTTTAAAAGAGCCGTTTTGGAAGGGCGTTAAAATTTAAACCCTTTCAGGTCTTGCCCTTTTTTTTAGTACTTTTTACCTATGTTGTTTTCAGATCTTAATAGTATTTCGTGCTCAAGCTCATAAGATACACGTGAATTATAATGGCAGTTTTAGTGCGGAGATAGCAAATGCATTGATTTCATGAATCTTTTTAAACACAAAATTCGTTGAATTTTTACAATATATAAAAGAAATTTTTAAAAAATTCAGAATTCGGGCTTCGTGCTTATGTTCGGGTGCAAGATTAGGTGTGTTTAAATCTGGTGACTCTTTCCACGTTTTTATTAGAATGTGTTTAGTATTGTTTTATGCAGGATGTCTTCAATTTTACAAAATCCTTCTTCATTTGTTATCGTGATATATTTAGCTGAGCGGCCTTGATGTAAGTGGAGCAGAATGGCCTTAATCACCTAGAAAAAGCTTTTTTGTGTGCTTCAATATGCCAAACCAGTTTTTCTTTATTCTTGTTCTGCATACTTTTTAGAACATGCTATGAATGAAAGTCGGCTTTGGTCTTGCACTGCCCATTCAATGGATCAGAACATGACTCTAGCACATTGGTCATCAGGAAGACGGAATTTAGCATCATGTGACTACTTCTTGAGTAGTGCCGTCTTAAAGCATGAGTCTGCTGAGCACTCATCCGGGAGTCCACGAGCACAAAAGCCCTATGGTAATCAGTGTATGTTAATTGACTTGCCATTAATAAAAATATGTTTGACATTTAACTATGCCATGTTATCTGTGCTTATATATTAGTCTATCTAATTTGCGTTTATGTTTTGACACCAGTTTTATTTTTTCATTAAAGTACCAATAAAATAAATATATGTTTAATATTATCGGTCATTTACATTTAATTTCCGTAAGCGATTGTAGTAAGAACACCATGACCCAAAGGCTGTAATGGTT